GGGAAATGGAGCATTACTACTGACCTTACAAAAATAAAAAAGCATTATAAAGAAATACTATGAACATTTCTATATCAACATACTAGATAACCTAGATGAAATGGAAAAATTGCTAGAAAGACACAAACTTTTAAACCTGACTCAAGAAGAATCAGAAATCTGAATAATAGAACTACAGCAAAGAAAGAGATTGAATCAGTAATTTTAAAATTTCCCACGAAGAAAAGTCCAGACCCAGATGGCTTCACAGGTGAGTTCTAACAAATGTTTATAGAGGAATACAAATCTTTCCCAAATTATTCCAAACATTGGAAGAGGAGAAAAAAACTTTTAACTCAATTGTAAAGCCAGTATTACTCTGACACCAAAAACAAATAAGACTATTACAAAGAAAAAAACAAAAAACTACCAACCAATATCTCTTATGAATACAGATGCAAATATCATCAACAAAATATTAGCAAATTGAGTCCAGAAAAAAATCCAACAGGAAAATTGGTATTTATCCCAAGAACGTAAGGGTGGCTTAACATTCAAAAGTCAATTAATGTAATACATTACATTAATAGAATAAAGGACAAAAATAGGTGACCATCTCAATAGATGCTTAAAAAACATCTTACCAAATCCAACACCCTTTGATGATAAAAACACTCAACAAAGAATAAAATGAAATGTCTTCCTCCTGATAAATGGCATTTATGAAAACCCCAAGCTAACATCATATTTAATGGAGAAAAACTGAATGCTTTCCCCCATGATAGGAACAGGTCAAGGTGTCTGTTCTCAGTACTTCTATTTACTATTGTACTAGAGGTGCCAGCCAAAGAAATGAGGGAAGAAAAAGACATAAGAATCATCAATATTGGAAATGAAAAAAGAAAAAAAATTCTCTATTTGAAAATATGATATTTTCATTTAGTTCACTAGTAAATAAATTATATTTCTCATATATTTTTCCTCTGAGAAGTTAATCAAATATCCAGCATCATGCTAATCTTTTATTATTGGCATTATCATGAAATATGATCTATTTATGATGCCAATTTTTGGAAAATATTGAAGCCTGTTTTATGCGTTAGCAATGTTCTTTTTTTTTTGTAGAAAAATACAGCTTACCAAATCTAACTCAATAATAAATACAAAATCTGAGGAAAAACATTAAAGAAAGTTTATCAATAATTTAAAATGATTCCAAAAAAATAAAGAGCAAGGAAAACAAACTTACCATATGGCTTTACAGAGGATTACACTAAATAAGCAAGCAGAGAAAGAAACAATCTACTCTTACACAGACATTTATAGGAAATAGAAACTATCATATCAAGGTAACATTAGCTTGATACCAAAATCAAACAAGGACAGCAACAAAAAAAATATAGACCAATTTCGCTTATGAACGTAGACATAAGTATCCTTAAAAATTAGCAAACCGAACCTGATAACGTATGCAAAAAACTAGTACAATATGACCTTGTCTGGTTCAACCTAGGAATGCATAGCTGAGTAACATTTTTAAAAAAATTATTGATGTTATTACATACATTAATACAATAAATAAGAAAAACATGACTGCTAGTTGCAGAAAAAGCGTTGAATGACATTTAACACAAAAACATAATTAAAAAAAAATCTTAGCAAACAAAGACTGGAATGAACTTTCTTAAACTGATAAAGAGTACATAAAAGAAACCAAACTAAATGAAAACTTAAAGGAAACAGTGCACTTAAAGGTGCAAGTGACAAAGCATTCACTTTACCATCAGAATCAAAGTAAAGATGCCTAGTTATTAATACCTTTCGTGTACTAGAGGTCTCACCAGGGTTATACGGTTAAAAAAAAAAAAAATTAATTAGTAATGAGGACTTCATACAAAACCTAATACAACATCAGGACAGGTAACTTGGTGAAGCCTTGAACTCTTAGACAGTCAGCCTTGCACTGGGCCACCATCCTCCTATTGTCAATGAGAAATGAGTTTCACTAGGCAGTGCAGTATGCACCAAGGGCATGTGTCCTAGAAGAAGGATTTTCGCCTGCTATTCTTCCTTTTATGGGAGCAGCACCTCAGCAGGCTTTCAGGTTAGAGAGGAAGGAGTGGGGGATAGAGGGCAATCTAAACAGAAATACAAAATAGTCTGTGCTTGAGTGTCAATTTTTCCAGAGAGTTGTACATCAGTCCTTAAAATGACAGTAGCTAGCTTCTGGTAAACATATAAGAGTTTGTGATTATGTATGCCCCTCCTGTTGGCAGAGGGAAAGTTATGGGTCCCAGTTAGCCCACTGCTAAAAAACATGGTTGTCGGGGACAACAGAAGGATGCTCCTGTTTGTTTCCCACTATACCTGAAAGGAAAAAAGTTCTCACAGATGACTTGAGGGCCTAAGTCTTAAAACACATAGAACACAGAGAGAAATTGCTAAAATGAATGAGAGTTGGGGATGACATATAGATATACAAGCCTCAATTTTATTTGAATGTACCAACAGAAACAGTAGAAAATAATATCTATAAAGAGATCTCATTTGCGACTGCAACAACAAAATGTACAGCAAGGACCTAGAACAGAAAAATTGTAAATGTTGATTTTATGACTGTTAACTTTTTTGTTAGTACCTATATTATAAATTTATATTCTTAATTAAAAATTACATTTAAATATTTTAAAATTTTAAGTGAATTATATAAGTATATATAAAAACATTAAAGAAGAACTAAATAAATGGAGAAAAACACAATTTTCACAGACATAGAAGGTCAATATCATAAAGATCCAAATGACCTCAATCTTATTTTTGAACTCAAAGCAATTCCAATCAATGTCCCAATATGATTTTTCATAGAGCTTAACAGGATTATTCTAAAATTTATATGGAAAAAAAAAGAATGAAGAATAATCAAGAATTTGCTGAAGAATAAAGAGGGTTGCATACTCTCACTGATATCAAGTTTTACTATAAAACAATGGTAATTGACAAAGAAATGGCCCTAAAATGAGAACAAAATAAACATTCCAGAAATGGAGCTTGTCATGTAAACACATTTAACTTTGATAAACCATCGATTATCTGTGCAGAAAAGAGAGACTATTCAAAAAAGGATGTTGGGAAAATTGCTTATCCAAGGAAAATATTATATTAGATATCTACCTCATATAATAAATAGAAGGTAAAGTTGGATTAAAAGCTTAAATGTGAGAGACAAAACTTTAAACTTTTAGAATAATATTTAGAAAAATATCTTTATGATTTTATATAGGGAAGATCTTAAATGGACACAAAAAAGTTCAAATCAGTAAGAAAAAGATTGATAAATTCAACTATATTCAAATTAACAATTTTTGGTCCTCAATAAATATTCTAAAAATGAGGAAAGACAAGCCACACACTAAGAGGGAATATTTGCAACACAAAATCACTGATAAAATAGTTTACAGAATTATATAGTGCTCAAATTAATAAACAAAAATTAATAATAAAAACTCAATAGAAAATGGATAAAGAATATGAATTGCCATCTCCTAAGAAAGGAGAAAGAGTGATAAAGATATTAAAACATGCTTAGTTGCATTAATAGTTAGGAAATACAAAATAAAAACATTTTACACTCACCAGATTGGCAAAATTTACATTGGTCAATATCACACGATACCTTAGATATAGAGCAACAATAACATTCACACACTGCTTGTAGAAGTGCATATTTTCACAACTACTTTGTAAAACAATTCAACATTCTCTTTAAAGTTGAACATACTAGCTACCATCTGACCCAAAATTTTACTCCAAAGTTTATACCTTAAAAATAAATCTCACACGTGTAAACCAGGAAGCAGATTCAGAGTATTGTTTTTAGAAGCAAAAATTAGGAGAAAAATAACAATACATTGGATAAATAATTCATCCACACAATGAAATATTAAATACCAATAAAAATGAATAAACTACAACTAAAGGCATCAACATGGTTGAATCTAAATATACACTATTATGTAAAAAAATCAGCTTCCAGAATAATACATACTTTATCATTCTTTTTTTTACAAAGTTCAGAAACAAGCTAAACTATACTATATTTTGTTAAGATGCACATGCACAGGTAGTAAAATTGTAAATAAAACCTAGGGTACGGTTTAAAATTCAAGATAGTAATTACTTCTTAGAAGAGGAGATAAAATCAGGGAGGAAGGAAAATAGAGCATCAACAGTAATATTCTCTTTCTATTCTATTTCTGAATGTTTATTTTAATGTCTTCTTAAATATTTCTATTAAGTAAGTGTATATTTAAGCATGTATTATCACACTCCATAAAATATCCTAAATTCTAGAATAAAAGGAGACCCATGCCATTTATTTTTTAACTAATTTCTCAATTCATGGGTGTGATGGTGTCATGGGTTTCTCACGAGCGATGAGTGTGTGGGCATGTGATAATATATACCTGCAAGTCAGAGTTTAGATGATTATGTCAACATATAAAGTAATGAAATATAATAAATAAGGATTTTTAAAATAAAAATTCTACACTAACAGGTGATTTTTCCTTAGCTATTAATCCTAAGATCTTATATTTTTTGAATATTCTCTTTGTAGATTTAATAAAGAGCTGGGGAAATTATTTCAAGAATTTGGGAATTTGTGGGCTAGGAAGATAAATATTTTCGTTAGATGTATCTTATCTGGATGAAAAGGAAGTGTGATGGATATAGTTTTTTTGAGACATTAAAATATTTATTTTTAGACTGGTCCATCATGATTCATAAATTAAATACAGCAGTGAACATTTTTAGAAAAGTGACAGTCTTTGTTTCTCTGTTTTTTTTTAAACTTTATTGTGCTTTAAGTGAAAGTTTACAGCTCAAGTTAATTTCTCATTTAAAAATTTATATACATATTGTTTTGTGACATTGGTTGCAGTTCCCACAATGTGCCAGCACACTTCCCCTTTTCACCCCGGGTTCCCTTGTCCATTTATCTGGTTCCTGTCCCTTCCTGGATTCTATATAATTAAAATATGAATCCTATAGAAGACTTTGCCTTCCCAACAGCCTTCTGAAAGGCACTCTTGACCTCTTTGTTCCTAAGACTGTAGACCAGAGGATTAAGCATGGGGATGACTATCGCATAGAACACAGATGCCATTTTGTCTTTGCCCATGGAATGACTGGAGCTGGGTTGTAAGTACATGAAGGTGCCTGTCCCGTAGAAGATGGAAACTGCAGTGAGGTGGGAAGCACAGGTGGAAACGGCTTTCTGGCATCCTTCAGATGAATGCATTCTCAGGATAGTGGTAAATATAAACAAATAGGAGATCAAGATTATTAGGATAGAAAAGAGGGCATCGAAAGCTACTACAAAAAAAATAACTGTCTCACTGATGTGTCTGTCAGAACATGAGAGAGCCAGAAGAGGAGGAGCATCACAGAAAAAGTGATCAATCACATTGGATCTACAGAAGGAGAGCCTGAAAGTGTTCCCGCTGTGGATGGAAGCATTGAGGAAACCACAGACATAAGAGCCTATGGCCAGAAGAGCACACACATTTGTTGTCACTGTGGTGGTGTAATGAAGGGGTTTGCATACTGCTGCGTAGCGGTCATAAGCCATCGCAGCCAAGAGAAAACTTTCCACAGTGATAAAGGCTACAAAAAAGAAGAACTGAGTGGCACAAGCATTGTAGGAGATATTTTTGTCTCCTGTGAGAAACCCTGCCATTACCTTGGGAGTAACAGCTGAGGAGTAACCAAAGTCCACCAGAAAGAGGTTACTGAGGAAAAAGTACATGGGAGTGTGAAGATGAGAGTCCAGCAGGATCAACAGTATCATCCCCAGATTCTCAACCAGAGTGATGATGTAGATGAGAAAAAAGGTTATGAAGAGCAGGATCTGCAGTTCTGGGTCATTGGTTAACCCCAGAAGAATGAATTCAGTCACCTCTGTACTGTTCTCCATTGGGATCATTTGGGAATTATGTAACTGCCCTGTAGCAATGAGAAAACAGGGTCATGATGAAAGAGGATAAACACTGTGTGGCTATCAATTGGTATGTCTACTTTAGCATTGCAATGATTGTTTCCAAGATTCTCTAGATCTAAGGCATGGCCATTCAACAAACTTCTACATTTAGTTATTTATGGAATGATGGGGTGTTCCAGCTAAAACAATTTTGAAAATAAAGTACAGAGAAGGAAAGTGAGTTATGCAAGATCACAGGATTAGTTACTGACTGGAATGGGTCAGACTTCCAATTCAGATTTTCTAACACTGACACAAAATATTGTTGATATTCTCTAATCTAGATTAACTCAAGTAAGCTGAGTGAAATTCAATTTATTTTACTTCAACTCATAATTTTCTGTCATTTGTATTGTGCCAATAACAGCTTTATGTGACAGTGAAAGACAAATAAAACATGATTTTAGCTGAAATCATTGTATGATAGATACACAGGATGGGTAAAATTACCATACAAAGTGATAAAAGTAGATATCCATGAACAAGGAATAAAAACATTTATAAAATAACAGTTAAAAGCATAGGTCCATATCAGGAACTTTTAGATGCAAATTCCAGCTCCGCCATTTACAGAATCAATCAACTCGGGTGGAGAATAAGATCATTTAGCCATAAGTTTTCCTATCAATCTATTACCAAACTAGGTTGCTGTTGTTAGGTGCTATTGAGTCGGTTCTGACTCATAGCGACCCTATATACAACAGAACGAAACTCTGCCCTGTCCTGCGCCATTCTCACAATCATTGTTATGCTTGAACCCATTGTTGCAGCCACTGTTCATTCCATCTCAGTGAGGGTCTTCCTCTTTTTTGCTGACGCTCTACTTTACCAAGCATGATGTCTTTCTCCAGGGATTGGTCTCTCCTGATAAAATGTCCAAAGTACATGGGACAAAGTCTCATCATCCTTGCTTCAAGGAGCATCCTGGCTGTACTTCTCCCAAGACAGATTTGTTCGTTCTTCTGGCAGTCCATGGTATATTCAATATTCTTCGCCAACATCATAATTCAAACTAGGTAGATAATATAAAATTGTATTTTGTAATTTCTTGGATATTATTATTTGGACAGAGGCATTGGTCTTTCTGGGGATTGGAGACATGGATGAGATAAGATAGAGCTTCCAGGTAAGTGTGAAATCAACACTTTTGTATCTTCTCTCATTACATTTGCTTTCCTCTCAAACCTTTTATACTCTCCTATCCTCTATATGTATACTCTCTTTCAATTTTTCACGTTTCTCTTCAACCTATATGAGTGTCCAGTCCATCTTTGTCAAGTGAGATTTCGATTATTTCCTCAGTGAACTTGAGTCATAACTAACTCATATGACACTTAACAATTATTTAATAAATGTATGTATTCTATGAAAATTCAATGTGTAGATGAGGTCATGGAAGGCTTCCATATGAGAATAAAATCTAGGATCCTGTGACCTTACCCAATGCATTTTCCTTTTGTCCTATTACCCATCCATTCTCAGACCTGAGAAATCTTGGATCCAGCAATTATAGACAAGAACAAAGACAAATTTTGATGCTATGACATATGTAAGGGAATTTATTGAAGTCTACAAAGAAGTTTTCCTTATTTGGAGGTTTAGGGTCATGGTTTCATGGGACATCCTAGTTAATTGGCCTAATAGCATGTTTAGTGCTTTCTGTTCTACCTCATAGTTTGTTGAGTAGTGCCTGGGTTTTTAAAAACTTACAAGTGGCCATCCAAGGTACAACAATTGGTCTCTATTAGCCTGGAGAAACAAAGGAAGAAGGAGAGTCTGGAATACGAGGAGGAAATGGAATGCGTGGCTAATTGCCTCCATGAACAATAGTCTCCTTTGCCATGAAACCAAAAGAACTGAATCGTGCCTGGCTACCATTACTGAACATTTTGATCAAAGGTTCTATAGAATGATACTGATCAATAGAAGGGAAATATAGAACAGAATTCCAAACTCTTACAGAATCCAGACTTTCTGGAGCCACGAGACTGGCTAAAACCCTAGAACTATTACCCTGAGATAATCTTTAAACTTAAACCAAAAATATCCTCTGAAGTCTTCTTAAAACCAAACAATAGTTTAGCATAACTTGTAACGAATGTCTGCTTTGAGCATTGTGCTTTTTTTAGAACTATCTATATGGAATCAAATAGACAAAAGCAACTCAAAAGACTAGATTGAAAACTTAGGGGACAGTGAGTTTATGTAAATGAGGGAGGAACAACTCAGAAAAGAAGAGTGAGAATAGTTCCACAACTCGAAGAATGTAATCAGTGTCACTGAATTGTCCATGTAGAAACTGTTGAATTGTTGTATGTTCTGTTGTATATATTCTCCAAAAAAAACAAAAAAAGTCTATTGCAGAATCTCCACTTACTTTCCCATTCCATACTCCTCCCAAAATGGAGTCTGAAAATTGTATCCATTCTAAATCTTTGAAATATCAGTTAGAGATTAAAAACTCTTTAAGAGATGAATTCTTGTTGCAGGAATTGTTTAGAATCTTGAGTCAATAGATCTAATCATACAGTTTATTCTATATTTTTTATTACCTGACTACAGTGTACAAGATTATGCCAAATAATACGGAAATGAAAGTGAAAAACAATTTATGTGGGATCTGAAATTTCAAAGGGAGGCAGATATAAAATAAAATTAATTAGGAAAATATATAGTATATCAGACAATAATAAATGCTGTGGATATATATATTTTTTAAACTGAATAGGGATAGGTATGGATGGAGATAGATGGGTATAATCTAATTATGGTGGTCAGGGACAGCCCCATTGATAATGAGGCTTTTGAGGAAACACTTGAAGGAAGCAGAGCAGCAGACCCTGGATATATTTGGGGGAAAAGCATTCCAGGCAGAGGGAACAGGAAATGCAGGATGGTATTGACAGAGGTAATGAAAAATTATGCAATTCTAGGTATTTTTCAAAAGTACAAATGAATTGAATTCCTCATGTATTGAATATTGGACGTTAGGGAAAGAGAGGTATCAACTTTACGTCCCCAAGACACAGACAAATTTCAGCTTTAGGAAGTAGATAAAGAGAACTTTCAGAGGAGACATTAAGTGTATACTGGTTTATGTTGCTGACTGACAGTTGCAGAAAGCACAGTGAATAGTTTCAGGAGATGGGCAGGAATAGGGGCTGGAATTGGAAAAGAGGATATACAGGCATATGTGGGCATTATATTTTAGGAGTTTAAGGATAATTTGTAAGTCCTTGTCTTCACGGTGTGTGACATAGGTATAAAGGAATAATTAGATTAATCCTATGGGTCTTAAAGGAACCCTGGTGGCACAACGGTTAAGCACTTGACTGCTTACTGAAAGGCTGGTGGTTCAAACCCACCTGGCAGCTCTGCAGGAGAAAGATCTGACATTCTGCGTCCATAAAGATTACAGCCAAGAAAATTCTATGGAGCAGTTCTACTCTGTCACATGGGGTCACTATAAGTCAGAATCAACTGGATGGCACCCAGCAACAGAAGTATGGGTCTCAATGTGAGAGCAGGGGTAGGAAAGATGGTTACGTATATGAGAGTCTTGACAGAAGCATGAAGACTCCCAGGTCCTCTCTTCACTTCTGCTACTGGTGGTGTGGAGGCCACTTACCCAGAGCAGGGTGACTACAGTACCCTCTTGATTCCTCATCAAACGACTTACTTGAATCAATACCACAGATAACGGATTTTTCAAATTCTGGAAAAAAACAATGTGCCGGGAACCATTTCAAAACTTTTTGCAAATACTCTCCTCCATAATGGAAGTCTTAGGTGTCAATCCAGCCACTTCCTGGAGGAAAGATAAAAACAAAAACACGTTTTAGTCCCTCTAATATGATTAACTTAGAGCCTTAGTGGCGCAGTGGTTAAGAGCTCTGCTGCTAACCAAAAGGTCAGCAGTTCGAATTCACCAGCCTTTCCTTGGAAACCGTTTGGGGGTAGTTCTACTCTGTCCTATAGGGTCTCGATGAGTCAGAATTGACTCAACAGCAACGAGTTTGGCTTTTTTTTTTTGGAATATGATCAACTTAGTCTGATGAAAAGACATTAAGGGATGTCTGATGATCTCTTACCATTCTTTGTTCTACAGATAGGAAACATACTATGAACTGAACTACACTGTTGGTCCTTAGAAAATAATTTTAAAATGCAGTCTTCTCGACAAAACCCTCTCTGCTACCAATACCAATCTCACATATTTTAAAAACAATATCCCATGTTCCAAAGCTTTCTTGAATTCTTCCTCATTTCCTTCCTGTTCAGACATAGCTTTGCCATTATAATCAGTAGAACCCCCATTTATCAATTCATTGCTCTGAAAGTTTTAATTTTTATCTTAATTTTTCTCTTCCCATGTATGCTATCAATAATGCCTTGGTAGGGGCTATGACATAAATAATGACTTACTATAATCTGCCAGGCTAAAGTCTGTGCTACTTTGCCTCCATTAATTCTCCAATACTGTGGGAGATATTATTCCTAATTCACAAACGGGAAAACTGAAACTTATTGCTATTTAGCTATAAGCTGATGATTAAAGTGGCAAAGCTGGTATTTGGACCCATTTCACTTTAAATTCAAGTCTGAGCTCTTTATAACTAGGAAATATTTTCTAAAGCTTTTTACCTATAACCTAAACTGTCTAGCCCAATACTGGACACAAGTAAGCTATTTATTTCATTGACTTATTGACTGATTAAATCCATCAAATTTTAATGTGCATAATTGAAAAACACATACATGGGAATCAAATATACTTGCTAGTTTGCTTGACTTTGAGCAACTAACCTACATTTTTGAATCTCCACTGAATGACAAAAACTGAATCCATAAATGCTTACAAGCAATCCACTACTTCTCCTCAAAAATCCTTGAACTGTTAAAAGGGGACATGAATCTTTGGGAACATTAACCAATAGATCAAATAAAGTACTGGATGCTGTTT